CTTTCAGTGTGTTCTTACTAAAAGGTTTTCAGTGTCAGTCTATAAATAATGGCCAATTATTGAAGGGATTTTAAGGAATAAAGACCTTTTTTTTCTTTTTTCTCAAATTTTTTTTTATTTTAATCATTGTTCAAGTACAGTTTTCTCCCTTTTACTCCCATTCCAGCCCACCCACCCAACCCTCCCCACTTCCCTCCCGTTACCATCCTCCCCCTAGCTTTTGTCCATGTGTCCTTTAAATTTGTTCCTGTAAACCCTTCCCATTCTCCCCTGAAATTCCCTCTTCTCTCCTCTCTGGTCACTGTCAGTCTTTCCTCTATTTCAGTGTCTTTGGTTATATTTTGCTTGTTTTTAGAACCAATGTGGGCAAACCAGAATGGGAAAAATAAATTACATGGCTCTTGCCATTGTCCAGGTGAAGCAGACTCCATGGAAAGCTGAGGCACTGGGGATGGAAGGAAAGGAATGAATCAGAGAAATTAATGTAACACATTGATAAGTAACATGTTGGGAATGAGAGAGAACAGGGGGCTCGATGTGGCGTCCAAGCTTCTGGGTGTGATGATTGAGAGGATAATGGTGCCATTAACTGCAATAAGGGATTTCAGGGGGACAGCCTGGGGTTTGGCAAAGATGACTTTGTTTTCAGGTGTGTTCAGTCTGAAATGGCTGGTTAAATATGCAGGTAGACCAGTCTAGAGGAGAGGTGGCATCACAGTTTGAAGGTAACAATTTGGAAGTGACAGTTTATAGTAAGTGTCATTTCATATAAGTGCACAAGATGACCCAGAAGGATTGTGGTTTGAGAGGGATAAAATGGCAAGGAGGATGCCTGGTGAACAGCATTTAAGGGATGAATGGAGGGAGAGGAGCCGACAGATTGACCAGAGCGCGCCCAGAGTGGAAGGAAAATGGGGCTGGGTAGAGAGGGTATATCAGAAGTTTAGGGAAGCAGAGAGAATTTCAAGGCATGGGTAATAGTCACCTTTACAAAGCCACTGAAAAGTGCTGACTGAATGTAACACTCAAATTGTGTAGTTACAGGAAGACAATAGGGGCAGAAGCCAACTGCAGTTGGTTGAAAGGAGGATGGCTACACAACTAGATAAAGCAAGAGTTCTGTGCTTTTTTTCCCAAAAAAACCTCTCCTGTGATGAAAAAGAGGTAGGGTGAGAAAGAAAGGCTGACATCTAGAAGGGATTAAAGAAGGATTTAGGTATCTTTGTTTTTGCTTTAAATGGATAGAATGTGGTGCTGGGGAACGTGCTGAGAGTCAAAGCAAGTCGATATGGCCACAGGCCTCTGATCTGTGCCACAGCAAAGGGATAATAATAATGATAGCAAGCCATTATAGCACCCTCTAGATGTCATTTTACATACAAGGTCTGTCCAGAAGGCATCCAGCCATGTAATATGAAAAATAGAAGCATTTATTGAAGAAGATATAGGTATAGGAAACATTGTACACAGGACAATGAGACCTCAGTCCCCTTCTAAGCAGTCACCTTGGGACCTCACACAGTTCTTCCAGTCGTGGTCAGCTGCCCCATCATATTTTCCTGAATCTCATCAATGGTCTGAAATCTCTTCCCTTTCAAAGGTGATTTTAGTTTTGGAAAAAGCCAGAAGTCTCAGGGCATCAAATCTGGGCTGAAGAAGGGCTGAGTCACCTGGGTGATTTGATGTTTCACCAAAAAACTCTGCATGAGACATTATGCGTGAGCAGGCATATTGTCGTGATGAAGCTGCCAATCACCAGTTGACCATAGTTGCAGCCTTCTGAATCATCTGAATACTTTCTATGTAGGAATGTTGAAGCTTAATACAAAATTTGATGCAGATTTGTCGCTCTACTCACTTAGTCATTTTGAATGCGAAGGCCAAACAGTACACATGTTCACTCAACGGTGTCTACCGACTCCACTGACTAGTACAGTGAAGTTGTCATTGTTCATGCATGTGCATTCCAGTCCACTCTCCTTAGCTGCTATGTTATATCGATGTCCCGAAAACTGTTATATTAACAATGGCTGGACTTTTTCCAGAAAGTCATATATGAACTCATCCTGCTTCTCATAACTGCCTTGTGATATGAATTCTGTTATCACCCCCATTTTACTTATGAGAAAATTGAGGTACACAGTGCTATAATAATGTTCCCAATTTGTGTGCTACACTCTACGTTAAGCAAATGCATTACAGAGCCACCAAAATGGTGTTCAGGTGTCTCCTTCGCTTCAGTGGGTTCAGAAGATGGTTGGTTGCATGGAAAGCGGGAGAGGTGGGGCCAGGCCACTGATGTAGTTATGAGCCAGCTGTGACACCCAGGGGAAGTTTCTCTGTGGAGCATATCTGCACAGCTTTTTCACATTACTAAGAAGCTGAAGATTGAGTAAAGTTCTTGGCTCATCAGTATTATTTGATGCTTAACCTTATTGGAGGAAGTTACTGGGAATAACAAACAAGAGTTAATTAGCTATGGTCCCAGTCAGTGTGGCTTAATTGTTTGGGCGTTGTCCTGTGAACAGAAAGAATTTCGGTTGGATTCCTGGTCAGGGTACTTGCCCGGGTTGCAGGTTTGGTCCTCCGGCCTGCATACAAAAGGCAACTAATCAATGTTTCTTTTTCACATCCATGTTTCTCATCCTCTCTTTCTCCCTCCCTCCCCCTCTCTCTAAGATCAAAAATAAAATAATGTGTTTAAAAAGAAGAGTTGGTTAGCTGTAACAGAATGGAACTAGTCACTAAAATGAAATGGTGCAGGTAATTCAGGGTGAGAATCAGAGCTGGGATATGGGTGGAGGTGGGCAGGAGAGGGAGAGGGAGATGGGTAGGATGTTGAAACAAAGATTATCTTGATCACATAGTTGAGCGAAGCTTGAAATTACTCTCAGGCATTTGGTAGAACTCATGAAAGATTGGCCAATTGTTTGTATTTGTGGTACATTGTTTATCCTGGCTGCTTCAGTGTTTCCTAGTTTGTGCCCATCACTTAACAAAGGAGGCATTATCTGGAAATTTTTAGGAATTAGAGATCTGTTAGTCTCTTACTGTAATCTTGTCATGATCAACAGTAATGAACAGTAACATTTATTCAGAATTTACTGTGTCAGGCATAATGCCTACTGCTTTATAGGAAGTGTCGCGTTTTATCTTTATAAAAACCCTAGAGGTGGTTCACTATTATCCTCACTTTATACTTGAGGAAACTCGAGCTTGAAAACACAAAATTTCCTGCCCAAGATTATCGAGCTAGCAAATAGCTAAGCCAGGATGTGAACCCAGGTAGCATGAATCCAGAACTCAGGTGCTGAACACCTCTGTGCTATATGAGAACAGATGGTGCCCTGAACTTGCTAATTCTTCCCAGGTTGAATTGGGGCTGCCGGGTCCACATATGAGAAAGTCAACTTTACAAAACCCTTGTCTCTAATTCTACTGACCATAGTTATTTGGGGGTTGATTCATGGAGGAAAAGGCAAACCCAGGAAAAATATCATTAGAAGTGTCTTTTTTTTTTAAAGGAAGTGCATTTTTTAAAAGATTTTATTTATTTATTTATTTATTTATTTATTTATTTATTTTTTAGAGAGGGAAGGGAGGGAGATAGAGAGAGAGAGAAACATCAATGTGCAGTTGCTGGGGGCCGTGGCCTGCAATCCAGGAATGTGCCCTGACTAAGAATTGAACCTGCGATGCTTTGGTTTGCAGCCCACGCTCAATCCACTGAGCTATGCCAGCCAGGGCCTAGAAGTGTCTTAATGAAAGTAGAAAATCTTTCTATGTCTTCTTTGCCTTTCTTGACTAGGCTGTTAAAAGTATTTCTTTACCTTTTCAATGCAAAGTTGATCTACACTTGGTATACATGTTGGTGTTCTAGATGTCTGTGGGCTGAGATTATAGTAAAGAAAGCTTTGTTAGCCATAAGGAAGGCTCTTGGGACAGTTACTGAATCTGTAATTATTGCAATGGATGATATTTATCCATCCATCTCTTCAGTACTGTGTACCTGCTGTGCTGGCTTCTGGGACACAGACATTAAGGCAGACCCTGTCCCTGTTTCATCCTGTGCAGTTTACAGTCTGATGGGGTAGGCAGAAATTAACTAATTCACTGGGAATATTTAATTACTGTTAATTGGATTTTGGGAACTCTAATAAAATTGTACATTTGATTGCTTCCCAGTTAACTGCAATAGGCTGACTGGAAATGGACTTATAATAACTGGGAACATGCCAGCTCTGCCAATAAGTATAAAACCATTGACTTGAGGCATTGAAATAACTGAAAATATAAGTATTAAAAAGACTGTCATAAAATAGAGTTTAAAGTGCTGGATATGTAGGAGAGAAAAATAGCACATCTTTATATTCTCATTTTATATGCATTTATGTTGATTATTACTATATTATGAATGATTGTTAAAGACACAAATACCATGGGAATTTTGGTGTGGAAACTTTTTAAAAAAATACATGTAGATCATAGCTTCTCCTTGTCCCTTTTGTTTCTGCTGTGTCGACTGGGAAACCCCATAAAGGAGACATTCTAAGGAAGTCTGTGAGAATAGCAGCTCCAAGCCAGAAGGATTGCCAAATCTAATTTTTTTCTCAAAATATTTTGTTTTTCCAAACCACATCCAAAAGTAATAAAAGGTATACCCAAGTATATTCAAACATTTATTAAAATTTTTGTCTTGCATTTGATATTAAAACCAGGTGAGAAAGTTCTTAGATGACAGTTTTACTATAAGCCTTAATCCATTATAATTATCCTCCATGAGTTCATATTTGATGAAATTCTGCCTCTAGTCCAGCTGTTTAGTCCTTGGAAAATTCATAAAGTCAAGTTTACACCTTGTTGGAGTCTCAAAAGAACATCTCTGTATTTGCCTGCATTGGTGTGAGCTATACTCTGGTGGCAACAAGGATGGTATCGAATTTTTATTTCTATTTGTTTTGATAAACACTTTACTTTCTTCCCCACTGATATCTCTACAGGCTCAGTTTGAACTTCAAGCCTTTCATATCCGGGGTGAGCATGCAGTGATAACAGCGAGACTAGAAGAAACCATTGACAATCTCAAGCATGAGCTAGAACACCGAATGCGGGGAGGAGGTGGAGAGATGAAAGATGTGTGTATCTCCACCAACGATGACTGCCCTCCAAAGACCTACAGAAATGTGTGCATCCAGACAGACAGAGAGACTTTCCTCAAACCCTGCGAAGGTGAAGGCAAGACAACCAGAAGCAACCAAATAATACCCAAAAAGCTGAATATCTCCTCTTTAAGCCAACTTTCTCCCACAAATGACAACAAAGATATCCATGTACCACTTCAATCTGTAGAAGGCATCTCATCAAGTCAGGAGAATGCATCCCCTCTCCCTCCAGCACCACCCCTATCAGCAACCATCCCTCCACCGCCTCCCCTCCCACCTGTACTTGGACCTTTGCCACCAGCACCTCTGAGTGTTGGGCCACCACCACCTCCGCCACCTCCTCTGCCTCCAAGTGCTGGACCTCCCCCTCCTCCTCCCCCACCACCACTTCCTAACTCATTTGCTCTGCCCAACAGTGGGGGGCCTCCACCTGCTCCAACACCCCCAGGACTTGTACCCCCACCTCCTCCTGGCCTCTTCTTTGGAGTTGGCCCTTCTTCTAGCCAATGTCCTCGGAAGCCAGCCATTGAGCCCAGCTGTCCCATGAAACCTCTGTACTGGACTAGAATACAAATAAGTGATAAGAGGTAAGCTCAACTCCCGTGGCTCATTTTCAGCTTGTGAGTTCCTAGAATTTTGCACAGGTGATATTTTATTCTTACCAGTTTAGTATCTATCTGTGTAGTATAGTGCTCATTCTCAAGTGTGGTACAGTGAATGCCTTGGATAGACAAAGTTGGAGTGTTTTAGGTAGAAGGCCTCTCTCTGCCACATCTTGTCTGTATTTTCTGTGGATTGATTCTGGGAGAAATGACATGTTAGGTGCCAGACCACTGTCTAAGATAAATGGTCATTTTATAGACTAGAGAAGAGCCCAGGTCTAAGTTAAAGCCTTCTGCAACAGTTCTGCAGTTAGCAAGTGATCATACAAACATTGAGCCTGACTTCTATACTGTAGGTTCCCTGAAGATTTTTAGAATATCCATCTTGTCTTTAGATAGTATTATCAACTTTGTGATCTGGTTTCTAACAGGTATGTGTAATTTTTCATTTTTTATTAAAAGAGCAAGACATAGCTGAGTCATTAGCTCTTCATGTCCAAGGGAAGTCTAAGAATAGAAACTCGGTTTAAACTCTGGTTTCCCCAACTGCCCAGCGCCTTCACATCTTATGCTGCATTGCCCATCAGAGAGAGTGCTAGAGTGTGAACAGCTAAAAGGCACCTTCCATTTGTAAAGCTTCTTAAGCTGGGTCTGTAAGGCAGGAATATATGATTGTTTGGAAACTTCAACCAAACAAATTTGGATAGGATTTCTTCCACTTTATTTTGGAGCCTGACAAAAGGATAACGGGAGATGCTGTTGCTTCTTGACTACTCTCTAGGTTTGAAGTTCATTTCTTTGCAAAGGATAGAGGATATGGAACACATTTTTAGAGTTAAGTTTTTGAACTTATGCACAAATCCAAATACAGTGATGAGTTTTTCAGTTTAGATAACATTTTACTTGGAGAAGTCAGGGAATTGAACAAGATAACATGCCATTCACAATTATAAAGTAACTGGAAATCAGTGTAGGAGGATTAAAATTAAATATATTGTGAACTAAGTTGATTATGTACTGCATATTGGTCCCTTTCCTCTTCCTCTCTCTCTCTCTGTCTGTCACACACACACACACGCACACACACACACACACACACACACAGAGGGGAGATCAAGAGTTTGTATATGAGGAAAGTCCTGATAATTTTAAAAATATTGATGCTTTGTAATTTTCCAAAGAATGGTTAGAAAAATATGAGAAGACCCTGAAATAGCTCCTACCATTAACTAAAACACTAGCATTCCCCTTTTCCCATTCAAGACTCAGATGACATTTCCCTCATTACTGTCCTGAAATTAAAGTTCAGCCTCCCAGGGTGATGAATCCCACCTGTTCGGGCAGGACACATTCCTGTCCATACCTGTCTCACTGACCTGCCTCCACCTCGTTCCCCACAAGGCTTTATGAGCAGCCAGTATCACAGACTATACCAAGGGTATTACAGTGCCCCTGGGAGATATGGGCCCTTTGCCCAATGTTCAAAGGGGGACAAAGTCAAGCTGGAGTCTGTGTTTTTCCTTCCTCATGTAGTTGGCCATTTTGAGAAAGAAAACAATTGAATGCTCAAGCTCTTATTAGTTTTACCATGAATTTAGAGCTTAAGTTTTGAGCATAATGAGATGTAGATGAATGTATGAACTTTCCTGACCTGGGACATTAGGAGAGTCCTCCTTGGTGAACATGTCACCCTTGACCCTGACTTTGGAGGACCAGGAGGCCCCCACTGCAATGCGTGAAGACTGCAGTATGAGCCCTGCCTGCTGCACTGCACATCCCATTTCCTACTGTGGGTCCCTCCTGATGTTTTGTCCTAAGGGCATGACTACTTCTTTGAAGGTAAAATGGTCTGAAGATTCTGTGTAGTATGTATTTATGGACAAAAGTAAAGTTATTTGGGATGTGCTCTTTTAAAATAGATGAAATGTATTTTAATGTTTTGTACAGCTGGATGTGGTAAGCACTTTGTATATTGTACACATGAAAAATTTTGGCCTTGGTCTCCTGGGGAACTGGGAGTAAAATGTGAACTTTTTCCACTATATTCACACTGCCTCTCGTCCACCTAAATTGCTTTTCACTACTAACATGAACTGATTTTTAACTTCTGCCATTTTGCTTCTTTTAGTCTGTTTTCTGGTTTCTAGAACAAGAAAGAGACATTTAATTAAAGAAGAATAAACCATCATCTCTCTACTTTTTCATCTTCCTAATGAATATCTATCTTCGTCATCTTCTTTTCCCACTTCCTTTCCTCCCCCTCCTCCACCTGCCCCTTCCCCACTGCTTTTTCCTTCTTCCTCCTGCCTTCTTCTTTTGAACTAAAATTATATGTTCAGTGGTCAGAAACGAGTTGACCATGAGTGCAGATGGTCCATTGTAACAGAGTTCTTGTTACTGACCCACTAAATGCCAGGTACCCCCAACTTACTGAGAGGTATATTTCAGTCTTTTATTTATTATTGGAAGTGTATTTTCCTATAGAAACAGTGTTGTAAATGGTGACAAAGTGCTCACCCTGCCTGCCAAACCTAATGTGCCCCGGACTATGAGTTACAGCGCTAGTCATACTGGCCTGAGCTCAGAGTTTTGGGAGCTGGGCCAAACCATGAAGGTACAGGAGATGATGCGGATGAACCTTAACAGTCTGCCTTGTGCACCATCTCACCTCCTTTTAAGCATCCCCTCCTCAGCTTCCCAGAACCTTCATGAGGCTCAAAGTAGTAGCACTTAAACAGCTGCTGCTCCAAAATTCCCTGCTTCTCTTCTCCCATCAAGAGCCCCTTCCTGAGTGCAGGCGAGATAAGCACTTAACACTACTCGTGCTCGTGTTTCAAATTCAAGTTGAGTGGCACAGGTGGATGGCTGAGGAAGGAGCACATAGATGAGTGGGCTTCACTGAAAAGGGTCTAGCCCATGGGTGATGATTTTACAGGTATTTATTATACTGTGATATGTTATAACTCACATATGTTACATAAATATTCCTAAATGGCTCAAGTATTATATTAGAAAAATGATAATTTAACCAAAAAATGAAGAGAAACGAATGAGGCAGAACCAAAATGGCATATTTCATGGAAGAGGCAGACACATAGCAAATGTGAACACGCACATCTGAAAAGCCAGTGTCCCAACTATTTTGAATATGAAAATCACCTTCTAGTGTCAAAACCTTTTGTGGACCACTTTACACAATACTAGAGCAAAAGTTTTCATTGACTGAGACAATATGCATTGAAACAATACATATTTTTCAGGTATATACTTTCAGGTAAGAGCTTATAGATATTATGGATCATAACATACAGTATGTTTGAAAGGCAATACAGGTATAGACAAGACATTATTCTTCTCTCTTTGCATTAAAAGTGTTTAAAAATTAGATTAGGAGCTAAGTTAAGAAAGTGGACATTAGGGAGGAAATGTGTCCTGACTAAAGGGCGCCCGAGTAACAACTCACCTAAATCGGCTCTCCGAGCCAGCTCTCCGGTACTGGATTTTCCATGCCTTCTTCCTTGTCTTTGTGTCAAAACTAGGGTGGCCCTGTTTTTTGAAGACAGAAGAAAACCATTTCCTCATGACTGCTTTAGGTGAAAACCCAGGGAGGGTTGTTGCAATGGAGTTTTTTGTTTGTTTTTATTTTTAATACTGTTGTTGGGGTGGGTATTATAACTCAAGTTTTTCTAAATGAGCACAACTCACTCACATCTTGTGGGTCCTGGATTGAGCTGACCAGAAAACTGTATTTAAAACCAGTGGAAGAAATCCAAAGGGAGGTAAACTTCATTTTCAGGCTACAGTGTCTAATGCCCCTTTTTTATTACAAACTCTTTTATTACAAAATCATAATCATGTAATTCTGTAACATAATTTCACACTCAAGCACACCACGTGACATTTAGGTAAAACATTCAAATTAAAACTATAAATTATTACACCCATATTATTACTCTACCAAACACATTCAAGCAGATGTTACTTCTGCTAGACCCTGTATTTAAGAATTAAATCCCGCCCTGGCTGGTGTAGCTCAGTGGATTGAGCGCGGGCTTCAAACCAAAGTGTCGCAGGTTCAATTCCCAGTCAGGGTACATGCCTGGGGTGCAGGCCATGACCTCCAGCAACCGCACATTGATGTTTCTCTCTCTCTTTCTCTCTCTCCCTTTCTTCCCTCTCTAAAAATAAATAAATAAATAAAATCTTAAAAAAAAAGAATTAAATCCCATCATGTCTGAGGATCGGTTATCTCTTTAGCCTTTACTGATGCCCGTGTTTATCCATCATGGGAACCCCACAGACTGAGGGAGAAGCAGCTCACAGGGCCTCAACACTCTGAATCCCAGGATTTCTGCTCCCATAAAGTTAGTCTCTGTCTCTCTCTCTCTGATTTTATTTAATGTCCATTCTGTTTTGGAAATATGTATTTGCTTTAATGCTGCATATCACATTTTGACTTAAAAAACTGTGTAATACTAAACGCTTTTCCAAACTGTACTAAGGATGTGTGTGTGCATATGCGCATGTTTTTTTTTTAATTAAGATTTTTATCAACAGGTGCTTTCAGTTGGTTGACTTTTTTTTGAAAAAAATCAGGTTGTAAACTTTTATTATTCTTTAATGAGTTAAAAAATGAATTAGAAATTTTATTGTATTCTGTTCTCTTATGTTTTGGTTGTTACGTTTAACTTCTCATTTTCTCTTTTAAGCCAAAGCGCTACACCAACCTTGTGGGATTCTTTAGAAGAACCTGATATTCGGGATACTAGTGAATTTGAGTATTTATTCTCCAAAGACACAACTCAGCAGAAGAAAAAACCTCTTTCAGAGACCTATGAGAAAAAAAACAAGGTCAAAAAGGTACTGAGTGATTATAGTAATCCTTGTAATAACATATGTGTATACACACATATATGTATTTGTCACACATGGGAGTTCATTATGTGCTGCTAGTTTGCTTTCTCTGTTTTCAAAAACATGTTTTGGAAGGCTCTGAGTCACATGTGACAAAAAGGAGCCAATAGTTTGAGAATGCGTGCTTGCTATTTTGCTCATAGCACCTGAAGTTTCTAACTATTTTTCCAATTTAATTTAGACCTATTTTTTAGCCATTAATTCTATTGAAAAAATATGGTTATTAAAATTTAATTAATAAAATTAGATAAAGTAAACAGGTCAGCCTTTCAGTGGCACTAGCCACTTTTCAGTTTTGCTCTGTGGCCAGTGGCTACTGTATAGCACATGTATAAAATATTTCTGTCATTACACAAAGTTCTATTGGATAGCACAGTTGAAGCATTGGAGATATATTGGTAAAAAAACAAAAAACAAAAAACTAAGATTCTTGTCCTCTGGAGCTTATATTAACAATCAACATTAGAAACAAAAATTAAATCAGGCAATCATGACTTGAGGATGAACTTTGGCCTGGCAGTGATGGGGCTACAGTTTTAGAGTGTTCAGCAAAGATGTCTGAGCAAAGATTTGAGGACTTGAAATCTGGCGCTCCCAGTCATCCCATCAGAGAAGAAGGTTATTCTCAAGCAGTCAGATAAATGTGAGGTTGATTCACAACTGTGCCATGCACTGGCTATGTGACCTAAGGCCTAGTTCTTCTACTCTGTGCCTTGGTTGCCTAATCATAACATGGGATGATGCCTGCTTATATCATTATTCTAATTATTTTAATATATATGATACATCATATATATATATCATGCTCAGCATTGTACCTGGCACACCGCCCACCCTCAGCAAATGATGGCTGCTCTTGTTTGCTACTGTAGCTGCCACTGCTGTTATTTCTCTGTGTAAGCGCTTTGATAATAGCTTAGATGGTGTGGAGGAAAAAGTAAAGTATTTGGTCCCGCTATTGATTTGCTGTGTGAGCTTGGGTACATCATCTTCCTTCTTCAGATCGTATTTCCCCTTTTCTGTAAAAAGAAGATTAACAACATCTGAGTCCAGCTGACCCACCAGGATGTTGTGGAATTCAAATCTAAGAGGGTGTGGGGATCTTTTTTCAATAGTGTGTGATATAGAATGATATTATCATCAACTCCTCATTCTTAGATTATATAAGTGGACTCATTCACTGGTTCATATCCCAGGGTAACACTGTGATTATGAAATCAGCTGTGCCTTACAGGGGAAAAATAACAAAAGTCCAAATGCAGTTTTCTGTGAATGAAATCAGACTTTCTCACTGACTTGAATTATGAGTGAAAATGATAATGAAAGTTTTTCACCCCTTAAGTCCATTGGAATTGTATTTTCATGAGAAAAATGTGACCCTAACAATAATTAAATTTCACAACAAACCTTTTAAGAAGACATGTTACGTGTGACAATTTGAATTTTCCTACTAAAACAATTAGTTCTACAGTATGGATGGACCTGGCAAACATTATGCTAGGTGAATAAGTCAGTCAGAGAAAGACAAACACCATATGATTTCACTGTATGTGGAATCTAATGAACAGACTGAACTAACAACAAAATGGAGACAGACTCATAGATGGAGAGCAGGATGACAGCCAGTGGAGGGGCGGGTGCGAGGTTAAGGGGTGGAAGGATTGAACAAAAAGGGAAAAGGACTCATGGATGTGGACAACAGTGTGGGGATTGCTGGGGGAGGGAACTATAAGGGGACTAAATGGTAAAGGAAAAAAATGCAATAAAGATTAAATTAAAAAAAACAATTAGTTCCAGGCAAAAAGTCAACTGAAATGCTATAAAATGTATTCCCATGCAGTTAGATTGGTATGAGATGGAAATAAGTGTGCTTTAAAGACTGCCTGCCTTTTTAAATGCCATTTACAGAAACAGAAGACTTGTTTCTCTACAAATCACAAAAGAAGAATCTCCATATTCCATGCACTCACTTCTATTTGCCACTCCTAGGATCCTCTGACTAACCAGGAACTCTGCTAAATGCATTCTTACTCATTATCATATTAAACTGAGTTTTGTTCTCTGCTGCTTCTCAGATTCCTATTCTTTTGTTTCTCTCTCTGGATGCTTGGTAACATGTTGTTTACTCATAAAACTAATTACTTCTGTTTTGTTGAATGAGTATTTTTAAAACATCAAAGCATTTGGTTGTTTATTCTCATTTCTTATCTCATAATTGTTTGCCTATTCAACAAAAGATTTTCACAAAAGTGGTTAGTCCTTGATGTGTTTATTTTGCTTTCCTGTCTGAGGAGGAAAACTCCCTTCGTTTGAACTCTTTAATCTGTCTGACCAGCGAGGTTGCTGCACCCCATCTAATCTGCACGTGTGTAGTCTCCACTTTTTTCTTTAAGTGGGGCCAAGAACGTCGGTCCACTGGGCTTGCTGGTCTCAAGGCTTCTTGGAGTTTCAGTGAGCTTTGCGGCCTACCTTAGGGCTGGGATTCTAAATTTTAAAGAAAATAACAAGCTGAATCAATGCCAGAAAACCCTAAGCCTGCCTCCTATAAGCCTTCCCTCCATGCCTGTGGTCAGATTTCCAGCATCAAGTTGGATCCCTTGGTCTCTTCCGAGAGTCAGATGTTTGTTTTCTTTTCTTTTAAAATGAAAATGAAAGTGAATTGTAGAGGCTGTGAGCAGCTGAGGAGTTTCAGCATGGGAGGCCAACTTCATCAGCTGAAGCACAGAATGGTTCCCGTACAAGATGACCAGGCAGACACTTGCCAAATAGGCCTTTCATAATGACTGATGTGTAGTATATGTCAGAGATTAAAACAGCCAGCATTCTGAATCTCAGATGTAGGGGCTTAGCCAGCACTGACACATATATGTGAACATCTCTTAAATGGATCTGGTCTTCATCTCTCTTCGCGTACCTCATTCCTGGTGCAGAAATAACTGTCAAGATTCTGCTGAACTCAGATGCTAGTTTCTAGTTTCATCTTCCAGACTAGCATTTGAAGTTCCTACCATCAGCACCAGTTTAAAGGAAATAGGCACATATATTATTAAACTAGGCAGGCATCCTGTTCTATAATAACATATAGTCTAAGAATTGGAAGGAACCTTCCAAATCACCTAATTGAGTACCTTGGTCTGACACATGAGACACTGAGACCTAGAAAGATGAAGTGACTTCTAGGGTTTGCACACTTTTAACTGGGAAGATATCGGTGATGAGGAAGACTTGAGATGATGTATAAAAGCTTCAGTGTGTTCCTCTCCCCTTTATTTAAAACATAATTTGATACACTGATGAAGGTAACAATAGTTATTGGGATGTTTGATTTGATGTTTTTGAATGAGAATAGCCATTATTAAAATCATCCAAAAATATAGCTATTCTTGTGCAAATCCAAAATATTTCTTTCATTGTAAAATTGTCCAGTTTTCTTCAGGTTCTTCCAATAGGAAGCCAAATCTTTGAATCAAAAGACATTTTACGTTTAACTCCAACATGAAATACATGGGTTTGGACCTCTTTCCCTTTGGCTCTACCCATAGTTTATATATTAGCTATAAACAAATACTAACTGACAGATTTGCATTGGATACTCAGGCCTGTGCCAATCTCCTTCACGACAGCAGACCACTCTGCCGTGACAAACGTAGCAATCACCAAATGGAGAAGCAGGGTTCAAAACGTCGGCTCTCATTGGCACCCATACGGAGTACTGTCTCCTGTTGTTTGCTCTGTGATAACCTTCCGAGCAAGTCTTTACCTTTCCCACACTGGTTCCTTCTCTATAAAATGGGGAATAACAATTCTTTACAGGGTTGTTATGACAGTAAAGTGAAATCGTGGTTATGAAAGTACTTTAAGTATTCTCTAGAACTATGTATTAATCTCCTAGTTTATGAACTAATATGGAAGCTTTGCAAAGGAATTTTTGAATGTCACTGATTCCCACAAGGTTGTTGAAGGTCTCAAGACATTAGTATGTCCATTCCTGGAAGTATTTGCAAAGGCTAATCTCTACACCATTCCTGTATTTTTCAATATTTATAGAATTTCACAACTTTCTCTAATGACACATGCAGACATCTAGTAGTTCATCTCACGTTGGCTTATATAGTCTTCTTGCACTGTAAAACAAGTTTCCACTGCCAATACGCCCATATTTGCACGGCCTCTCAGTTACATTTGTTCCTGGGAAAGATAGGTCAGCATCTTGACAGTGAGCCAGAAATCTGCCCTCATTGTCTGAGATTCTTTCTGCTGGTGCCTGTCGAGGAAGTAGCTGCTCTGATAAACTTTCCAGTTGCTTTTTAAACTTGCCCAGCAACTTTCAGAAAGTCAGCGTGACTTGCCAATATTCTTCTCTTGAAATGGCACAATCTCACTTTGAATTATAAATAATCTCTGTTCTCGTTCCTTCCTCTGTAAGATATATAAAATCGTTCCTCTCCCTCTACCTTTTTGATAGATATTTCTCAAGAATAATGAAATAATGGCTTTTCTCTGAGCACTGGGCAAGGAGGGGGTGTGAGTCAGGTGGGGAGGGGTGATGGTTCAGCAGACACCAGTCTGTTGAAACATCCTGGAGCCAAAAGCCATCAGTTGTAATTTGGTCATTTTGGCGCAGATCATAGCTGTAATGCTCCAGTCCCAGACTTGATGTCTCAGTTTAGTGGGGAGAGGAGAAGGGTGGAAGGAAAACGTTGTTTGGAAGCCTGAACATAAATTTATAGGGTTTCATAACCTATTGCCTTCCAAGTTTATATAATTTCAGCTTTTGTGTACAAAGATAATTTCTCAGCTGCGTCGGTAAGGTACGAGCATTATTTTTGCCCCCAGGAATGAGGATGAGTTTGCAGTGCCCTTTATATGAGCACTCATGTATTTGAAAAATGAGCAGCAAAGGTAGGGGTTATCATCTATAGAAATGAGTGAAATAACTTGCGTAT